AGTCTTCTTTTCCCTCTTTATTGTTCGGTGCTGGAGGAGCGGCGAGCGAGACAGAGGTGTAAACGGGCGTTTCGCTGATTCCTTGAGGCTGAAAATGACCTTTTTTTTTTTAACTCACTCATAGTTCATCCAAAAACAGTTACTGGTGCAGCTAAATGTTTTTCTCACTGCAAACAAATTATTAACTCAAATAAGCTGAAGGACGGACAGTTTAGAGCCTGGCAACTTTGCCATGTTTAAAGCAGCTGATTGGCTCTTTGGCTGCAGGCAAAGAAGTAAAACTTGGAGGAATAAATCAGAGCAGAGCTGAAGTTTCTCCGTCCTGGCAGACAGAAAGCATGTGCCAGTGTAATAAACACCAAATTCACTCAGCTGTGAGCTTATTCTTCATTTTGTAGCCCTCAAGGTCTAATTTCTTTATTTGTTCAGAGCTGTAAGGAGGAGGAGGGACCCTGACGGACCTGCAGGGTCTGCTGTTTGTGTGCATTCGATGGTCTTGCACCGAATTCCTTTGTAGGGACTCTGAACCTCTGGAGAGCAGCTGTCGAGATAAATGGCTGAAGCAGATAAAGTCGATTCCTAAAATAAAGGGACAGCAATCAAAGACGCTTCTGCACCATGTCGTCCTCTCTTGGCTTTACTACGGTGGAGGGCATGACGAGGAGCCACGCTGGGGGGTTAAAGGCATCTGTGTGCACTCAAAGTTGCAATGATAGGAAAAAAGCTCAAGACCCCAACAAGCTGCATTTTCTGTTAATGGCTGTGAAGAGGACATTTAACACGATATTTAGGAGCTGCCACACGATGTTACCCTTATTAGGTGCTGGCTAAACTACAGTACATATTTACTGTGTGGCACCAATGCCATGTTTGCATGTGTTACAAGCTAAATGTCAGTTTTCGGTCTCATTCCTCTGACCCCTGCGTGCACCGCACAGATGTTGGTTTTCATTAACATTTGAACTAAAACCTCAGACGTGAACGCGGAGCGTCGGTGCGGTGGGGGTGGCCTGTTAAAGGCTGAATGTTTACACGGTGCTTGGCCACTTGAGCGCTGAGTTTAAACACAATATAACTGAACAGACTAAAGGAAGGATTGATGCAGCATGGAGCACAAACAGCCTGCACTGAGACTGTAACTAGAATAGATCTGCATATTTTTAGGATGGCCTATTACGCTCTGTTTAAACGCTTCGGTTATAAGCGCAGCTACACTCCTTTTGTGGTGAAAGGTACACAGAACTCTTGATATGCAAGTACAAAACGAGTATGAATGAAAGGTTGGAGGCACTAATTTAAACCGAGCAGGCACACTGTGGTTTTAAAATGCAGTGCTGTCTGTCTGATAAGTGCAGGTTAACGTCTGGAAGAAGTGAACCAGCGACTGCCTCGTCTCACATTTTCACTCCTGCCGATACCTTTCCCAAATTTCAAAGCATCCGAACAGCTGATGCTGGAATTCGAAGCGCGTGCGGTATGGTGCAGATTTCAAAACGAGCTGGATTTAGATCTGCAGGTGTGACACAGATGTGCTGTGATCTGAAACTGGTTCCAGTTTGTGCTCAGATACTGATTCTCCTGAAATGACCGGGCCGACCTCCACGTGCACGCTGCTCAGATTTTTATGAACGAGATAAAGCGAGCGATGGCTGGGAGCGTAATGACAGGGCCAGTATGTATAATTGTCTTTGATTTCTATAATTCCAGTCTCAGTGGAGGAAATGCTCGTCGTTCGCCAACACTGTGTTTATCTGCGAGCACGAGGCTCGCGGCTGCCTCGGAGGAACAATAGCAGGGAGTCGAAAGCGTCTGCGCCAAAAATAACTCCATGTGTGATTATACAGGAGCAGGAGTCTCTGCAGGTCGGCTCATCAGCTGACCTCATGGTGTTTGCAGGGTAAGTTAAAGTGTGTTGGGTTTGTCTGACCTCAGCCCCGAACCAGACACAGTAGTGACAGGTGATCACTGAGGTTCTCTGTAAAGAATACAGGCTGCAGTATTTAAAAAGAAAGCAGCATGAAGCGATGCTCTGTGAACGCCTCTTTTTCCTCAGAAGCAATACTAAGTTAGAGGCACATTGAAGAAGATTAAAGGTCATACAGAGGGTTTGTGTGACAGGATGCTGCAGGGAGCATGGCGAGATGGAGGGAGATGAGCCACTGTGGCGCCCCCTAAAGGAGCGAGGCAGCAGCCCTACTGCAAATAGGTCAGTGATTGATGAAGCAACATGGCTGCTTCCACTCTTTTGCTGTGTTGCACTCTTTGTTTGTTTGACGGAGACCTTATCTCTGCTCATATTTGCATCAGGCGCCTGAATGAAGCCTGGACCTCTGGGGGGGTGTGTGCGTGCGTGCGTGCGTGTGTGTGTGCGCGTGTGTGCGCGCGCATTTCCACGTCTTTTAAAGAAGCTGCTGAACTTTGCGTCTGTTAAACGTCGTCGTGTTTATCGTGTGGTCTTTGGAGCTTGTCAGCTGGGAGCGTCAGTACGTTTACACTCATGGATGTTTAAGAAGAGCAACATCAGCCTCGCTGCTGTTTATCACTGAGGTCCAAAGAGTTTGTTCTCCAAAGATCGTCACCATAAGACACGTCTATAGAAAAGCAAAAACACAAGCCCGTCTTTATCCTTTCAATGAGTAATTTATCGTATGTTGAGCTCACGTGTACCAGCCTGACTTATTGAGCCTCAGCATTGATGCCACAGCCTGGCACTCTTAGCCTCTAATGATTCTGTTTCATGAACTTCTTCTGATCTTAATCAGCTGCTGGAAAAGATTCCTGAGCTTCCCTGAAGATGGAAGTCTTTGCTTTTCTCTTCCCACCTCTGCCCATGTGACTTCTCTTTAAAAATAAGTAGGGGACACAATCCTCTGGTTCTTCCGGGTCCTCCCTCCCTGGTGGAATAATTGAGAGGCTTTATCACAGGCTCTCCAGAGTCAAACTCGGCAGGCTCCGTCAAAGTGAAGTGAACAGTTGAACAGAACCAGCTCTGCAGCTGCCAAACTGTAGAGCTCGTCGGCGCGTCCGGCCTCCTCGCCTGGCCCGGCTCTTCTCCACGGTCGGCACAGCAGCTTCCCCTCAAAGCTTCAGAGGCATTTCCTAATGAGGCCCAGATGCAGAGCTGAGCTGACAAGCAGCTACTGCTTGTTCTGCAATTAGTCACATTTGCGCTCGTGCACACGTTAGCGCTGCAGCACAGGAGCACGCCGTTTCCTTCAGTTTAACTTTCCTCTACGTTTGAATTCTTACGGACATGAAAAAATAAAACGAGGTGAACTCGATGCTCCACGTGCAGCCGCTCTGTTACGCCGCTGAGCTTTTCCTGATTATCTGAATGAAAACATCCCGGTTCCTCTCGAGGCTTTTTCCCTCCATTAAAGCTGCAGCCTCTGCTTTTATTAGGGGAAAAACAGCTCTGCTGAATATTCAGCGCAGCAGGTCTGCAGCCTAACGGCCCTCTGGTAACGTCTCCTTCTGTTTACTGTCCACACAAAAAAGCCTCGAGTCTTTGTTTTACTGCAGTGGAAAATGTGAACTGTGGCACCACATCCTGTCAGCTCGAACTTCTTTATGTGTGTCGATGTGATGCACGCGTGAATGTTCTGACAATAACGGCGGGCATCACCGTGAGCCTGACGTCACTGTTAGGAAGAATCATTGTTTGCACGTCTGTGCTTTAAAGCCACATTTGAGAGGCTGACGTTTAAAACGTGTGTGTGATAAAACTCATCGTTCAGTGAAATAACATTTAAAGTTCTATTATTATGAAATTAATGAAACATGTAGGTATTCAACATTTTATTGATAATGTCACAGATTGTATTTTTGCAGATGAAAAAGCCGCGTGTTTGAAAACTGTGATGAAGAAACTGTTCACTGACCTTTTTCTGTCACTCCTGAAATAAATGGAAACAAAAACAAGACTAAAACATGTCGTTCCCACCCCCGCCACGCCAGGAATCAAGGACAAAATGTTATCCTTAGATGAAAGTCGTCCTCCACGTTGGGATTTCCTTCAGTAACAAACGTGCTTCATTAGATTTCCTGGGATCTTAAATAGACGCTGCTTCCTGTTTGACTGACAATCCAAACAAAGTGTTTTCTTACATTTTGTTTGTTGCTTGGTTTAGCTTCACTTCACTAAGAGGGGAACTCAGTGAAGTCAAGTAATATTTAAAGATAAACTTCATACTCATTTACAGAACATTTAGAAACTCGTTGTTTTGGTTCAGCTCTTAAACAGCTTTGTGTTGATGTAATCAGATTACTGAAGTGAAGCTGGTGGACCCAGGCACAGTTTTGAGTGGACGTTTTAGTTTTGTTGCACTGAAACACAGCTCATTTCTACCTGTACCTGCTTCTGCTGAAGTGCTCTTGGGCTCGTTCACCTTTCTCTTGGCTGTTTGTACTCGAGTACTTAAAGAGCTCAGCCTGTGTACTGACTCGAGCACGCCACAGGATGCTGTTTGAAGGCTCGTGCATCTGTTTGCGTAGCTCGTCAGGTGTCTGTCACAGTAAATAATGTAGCTGTGTGTCTGTCAAACGCACCTCCAGGTGGAGAGGAGTCACGCCTGCCGCTGTGCGTGCACGCTTGAAAATTATTTAACAGCTGAGAAGGAACCGAACGGGTTGTTCCGGTTTGCGTCGGCGCTCAAAAGTTTCCTGCTCGAGGAGTTTGAAGCTCCTGAGATCAGCCGTGGATCTGTTCTGGTCAGCGCGGTGAGTGAGGCTCTGTTTAAATGGGAAGCTTTGATTCACAGGAAAGGCTCGGAGTCGGACTCTGAGTACATTTAAAGTGGCTCCTGTTAAAGCTGAAGGATGCCGGAGATTAAAAATAGAATGTGGAGTTTATGAAGTCAAGATTTTATTGACAAACATGGGCTTCGTTTTTAGTTTGACCGCACGCAGACGCTCTGCCTTAGAGCGCACAGGTCACGATTTCACAGCTGCTTATTACTCTGCTGCCTTTACTGTAAGTGGGAGAAGTTTTTTATATGATCACTTAAAACTATAATAGCTGGTAACACTGTGTGGCAATGGGAACTGTGGGACGTGCCAGCGTGCTGTCAGAGCTGCAGGGCTGAGACTGAATAAATGTGAGGGGGTACCAGTGTGTGCGAGGGTACCCGTGCGGGGATTAAAAGAAGTTGTTGTTTGTCATTGAAGCTGTTAGTAGATTAACTCTGGGTTTTTCTAGATCGATGCACATGGAGCCCTGAGACCTTCAGTCTGTTACTAATGACAGAGCAGTTTTACCTGAACGGGGGGCGGGGTTGGAACCTGACACGTTAGACGTGGTAATGCATGCAGTGTTGATCACTTTATTTATATTTCTTTATTTTATCTTTTGTCATATATGATCAGCTCGCTGAATATCCTGCCTTTGCATGCAGTAGTCATGGAAACAGGTTACCTCAGAGGGCATTGGCTGGGGGAATGTGGCCAGCAGGTAATCGCGTTTATTTGAAGTGGGTATGTTTTCAGTCACTGAGGTCTGATCCTGAGTGGGTGCTTCTGTGGAGTGTTTTTATCCTGTGTGGTCTGATGTTATAATGAAATGTGTGGTTAAGATGAATTATTTCTTTCTTCACTGATTACTTCCAAATACTTTAAATCAGTTTTCTGTTGACCGTGGGGCAGAAATGTGACGGGTTCTTGCTTAGCTTGACCTTTGACCCTCTGCTGTCCCACATCAGCCCTGATCCACGGCGCTGCTTTCTGGTGTTCGCCCTTCTGTCTTCACCTTCAGCAGCTGAGCCTTGAGAAACGCTGCCGTGCTGGTTGATGTGCAACCATCTGAAAGGTTTTCCATTGTGTTCAGCTGCCTGGCTCATTAGCTGCACTTCAGCTGAAGGGCGGAGGGTGTTTACCCACGCCGGCGCTTCACCTGGAGGCCCAGCGGAGGGGTCGTTCTACCCAAACGGCCTTAAAGTCCTGTTTCCTCTTATAGGACTCGGATCGTTTGGCTGTCATCTGAGGAAGTCGTCTAATCTTAGCCGTGAAACGTAGCTCTCTCTCAGGGCTGCTCGGTGCAGGCTCGTGTCTGAGGGCTGCTCGCTCTGGTTGTACCTGCGTCAAGGGGCAGGAAGTTAGAATGAGAGTTGCAGGTAAGCAGCTTCATTATTATGATGGGAGGTGTCACTGTTGTGGTTTGGGTTATTGTTAATCTATCTGAAGTGTTTGTGTGTGTGAGAACTCCTGTTTGTGGTTGGTGTGACTCTGGGTCAGCTCTCAGGCCTCCACCTGCAGCTTCACCCTGTGCGAAGCTGCACAAACACGGATTCTGGTTTATTTTTTAAAGCTCGCACTGAAGTGTGGGTGGAAACTCTGTAAGCACGCAATCATGAAAATGTCAGAGGCTGAGTTTATGTCGATCATTAACTGCAGGAATGTGCAGACTAGACCTTAAAAACCTCACAGGAGGCTTCATGTCACTCATTTAAAAAAGGATGAGCAGGTTTTATGTTAAAGGCTTTTGCAAAACACGGAAAAATTCAAATTGGAAGAGGAATAAAATCTCTTTAAAGAAATTCTTTGGTTAAATATCTGTTTATACAGACTTAAAGACATTAAACTTGATTAAACTTCTGATTTATTATGAATGATGCCAGAAATAATCCTTTAAAATAAATGTTTTTATTTTCAGTTTTATTGCTATTTTATGAATTATCAGGTCATAATTCGGTTCATTCCTGCAGAGTTATTGTTTCGCTTTTTCATTATTCCTGTAAGTCTCTTTATCACAGTGTCTTTACTCAGGAAAACATTAACGGATCAAATTTGCAGATATATTGATGTCAGTCAGTACTCGCTGATTTTTAAATTGGTGCGTCTTTATTTTATATTTTCTCCTGGAAACAGTTTCATAAAAGCGACCTGTGACCGTTTCAAGTAGTGCATTAAAAGCAGGCTGATGCTCTGACTCCAGGATCGATGGCTTCTCCCACAGTGGTGGTGCAAAGCTGAACAGTAAATAGACTCCGCCTCCTTCTCTCCTGCTACTTCCTGCAGGTTTGTGTTCTGGCGGCTCATGGAACAGGACATGTGGGAGATCTTTGGTCAGTCTGTATATTATTCATTTTCCCTTCAGTTAGAATAATTTGCATGGTCTTGGCAAACAGAAGTTGTGTGTATGTGTTGAAATGCTTACTGACCTTCATGCTGCTGGAGAGCAGCTGCATGAAACCTTTGCTTTGTGTTCGTTACCTGTTGTCTCAAGTTTCAGTTCATCAGTGTTGGGACTCAAAGGACTGGACATCCATTAGGTGTTAGCAGGCTCAGGCTCATCCATTGTAATCGTAATGTTTTAAATGGGCCAGCCGCCCACAGCTCGATAGTCTGACCTCCTCCACAAACACCGTTTCCAGCTCTCTAGCAGAGGAGCACCCAGGTCTGCCATGACGAGTAATCCTAGCATCCCTTTCATGGTGTGAAGGAGCAGCTCTGCTAGGAGCTCGTTAGCCTGTCTGTGGAGAGCCTGAGGATCAACTGACCAATAAAATAACAGCTTCACCTTTTATGCTCGTCTCTCCTGGAGTTCCCCACCTCTGATTTATTTGGTCCATGGCTTTCTGACTTTTCTATCCAAGAATTGCTTTCGTGTCCTAAAACAGCAGATTGATTGTATGTTATTATTTTATTTCACCCAATGACCCGAAAGCCGAGCACGGAGCTGAGCAGATCAGACCCAGACACCGGCTCTTTGTGCAACAGGATCAGAGCGATATCCAGACGTCGTATCGATGCATCTCTAAATGTTAGTGGCCATTTCTTCCACACATTTCTTTTTGTGTGACATGCTGGAGCCAGTTTTAAGTGTGAGGGAGGAGAACAAACATGCCTGCAGTCTATTTGGGTGTTGGAAGGGTCTGTGTGCTCTGCAAAGGCTGCTCTCAATCCTTCGTCTCTGTATCGCGACTATAATAACTCCCCGGGGTGACGGACGGCCAGGACTTAGAGGCTCCGGCCTGATGACACTACGGCGCTGCT